AAACTCAAAAACGAACCAGAAAGGAAGCTAGCTTCGGCAAGCCGAAGCTTATATACCCTTGCAGATCATTCTATTAATTTACAAATCGCAAAAATGTTAAATTTCCTATTATTTCACATTAATTTTTCGATCGTTTCTATGGCAACTATATGATATAGTAGTTCGATATTTTTAAAATTAAAATCGAAATTCGGAAATATTTTAAAATAGTCATATCCCAAAGTAGAAGAGAATGTAATAAAAACCAACAAAGATATAATATTTTCCCTAATAATTTCCATTTAATTTTTCGACCGTTCCTATATATATGTAATAATATAGCTATACGTAATAGTGACCCGATTCTTTAAATATTCAATTCGAAATTCAGAAATATTTAAAAAATAATATTTCCAAGAGTAGAAGGTAATATTTGAAAAAACCCCGAAGCTAGAATTTTTATAACGTTTTTTTTCGACCCTTTCTATGGGAGCTATAAGATAAAGTTGTCTGATCCGGTCGGTTCCGACATATATACTACGTGCAATAGAAAGAAGACTTTTGGGAAAGTTTCATCCCGATAGCTCAAAAACTGAGAGACTAGTTTGCGTAGAAACAGACAGACGGACAGACGGACATGGCTAGATCGACTCGTTAATGATGCTGATCAAGAATATATATTCTTAATGGGGTCGGAAACGTCTCCTTCACTGCGTTGCAAACTTCTGACTGAAACCATAATACCCTTTGCAAGGGTATAAAAAATGAGCCTATTCTGTCCGAACAAAATTCTTGGCACACGTGTGTTGTATTTAACTATTTCGATAAAACTTAACCGATTTGACTCATTTTTTTTTTGCTAAATCCGCTTTGTCTCAGTTGTCTAGATGGCATAATGCTAAATTTCCATTCTTAAATCGTTAAAATAACTTAAATTTAACTAAAAACGGTTAAAGGTTAAATGCCATATCCATACCCATATCTGTGCAAAAAATAATCCATTCGGATCCTTTTACGGCGTTTAAAGGACTCTTACTGTGCCAAAATGCAAGGCACGCAGCCCGACCCATGGGTTTAAGAAGCCAGGGAAGCGAAAGGATCAAGAAAAAGGATAGTGTCAACCCTTAGATTTTATCAGCACAGATCGAAGTTTAGGAAAGGATGGAATTTGGCAAGGATATTTAACCAACGCCCTTTTTAAAGGCCCTGGCAATGTGCTAACTACATTTCTTTGCAGCTAGAAAAAATGAAGTGATTTCAAAGGTCACCAATATAACCATTTAGGATAAAAAAAAGGAAAAAATATGACAAAATATCAAATTGATACTAAAGTACCAAAACTATAAGAGTTTACAGGGAGATTCCTTAGCGTCTGATTCAGCGCAAGTTTTTTCTCCACATCGTTTGTTTTTTGTCGCCCATATTTTAACTGTAAGGCGTTCATCGGAGTTCATCCGCTAAATATAGTAATTTTGTGGTATTTTCTTACTATTTCCTTAGCTGAACTGAGTACCGTGGTGGAAAAAAGTTCCAGCTAAAGGCGTTACCTACCTATTTGCCTCTCGCTTACTCCTATGCTTAGCTAGCAGTTTTCGTCGTACTGAGTACTAGGCTTTAAGTTTGACACTTATCTGTTGAATATATTTTCTATTTAATAAAGATCCGGAACAGTATAATTCACTTTTTCTGCAGCATCAATGTAAACACAGATTTGGGGCTCCAAAAATAAAATCACGCACCTTCCAATTCGCCGCCCTCCAATCATTGATATTGATTCTGCCCAATCTGTCGACACTGCTGATCACCTATCGCTCTGCATTTTCGTTGCTGTTGTTGCTGTTTTGGGTTTTGGTTTGTGCGATCGATCCGTTCCTGTTGAGAGCCGTCCGCTCACGTGTTCAAATTTATTGATTGTTCTGCTCACAAGACACAGCGTTTCAGCTTTTTCCTCTCGGGCTGAGGACTGAGCCCGGTGTCCAGCTGTGCGGCATGGGAGACGTACGTGTGGTCGGTTTATGTAATATTTTTCGACATCTTGTGTGTCCGTCGATCGGTGGGACAGCTTAGCTGGGCCGAGAATGAGACTGGGGCCACATCCACAGCTAAGCCCTAGATGCAACCTTAGGCGCTAAATCGCATCGCTGCAATTCTGCCCATGTAAATTGTTTTCGGCCCTTATTAACTTAAGCCCATTCAGACTACCTTAATAACTCGTTCCGTTAACACTTTATTATGTTCAAGGCGCATAAATCGGTCCATCACCCGGACATGTTCGCGTGGATCGTGAGGTTCTGGAGGAGGGTACCGAGTTCCCAAGTTACAGAGTGTCTGTGTGACTGGGGCCAGGTCGACGATGGCGATTATGATTTATCGCATTTTAATCAATTTAAAATGTTTAAACGATACGAATCGGAAGAAATTATGAATGTGTTGCTGTCTCCAGGCTCCACAGTAGGCAACCAACAACAACATCCAAAGCCACAACTGCAACCCATACCAATACCCCAGCCCAAACCAGACGACGAACCGATCCGAGAACCCGGCGATTATCGTCAGCATGCGTTATCCGACGCGTACCTCGTTTGTATTTCACTCCCCATGTCCCCACCAAATCTCGTGTTACCTACGGTCTTGAACGCTTCGAAGTCTTTTGCGCTCCATATTAGTCACAGATCAGGGGCGGATTTAAGTGTTGAATAGGTAAAAAATAGGTGTTTCCCAAAATGATCATGAATATCCCCAGTGGCGGATCCAGAATTTGCTTGTGGGAGGGTATTTTAAAACAAATTTTTTGTTGCTTTTTTTTGATCATCCACAAAATCATAAGTACGTTATAGGTATGTATGTACTTAGTTTTACGTGATGTTAATGCTTTTCAGTCAAACAGTAACAATTAGGAAGCAATTTTATTTCTCAACCCACGGTTGGGACGCTGTCGACCGCTAAACATTAAATTGTAATTACAGTCAGTCACAAAAGTATTCGTTGCGAGGTGTTTTGCAAACAAATTGAGTTTTTTTTTAACATTAACGTAACATGGTAATTATTTTATTAATTTGATCAGTTTTAACACATATTGCAAATATATAAAATAAAAAAATATACAAAAAGTATCTTCATTGCTGTATTAAACGATTAAAACCAAAAAATAAAGATGTATTTTAAGATTTTTCAGTTAAAAAATTTTTTTTATGTTTCATTTTTTGGTCTATAAGTGCATTAAACAAACGACAAAATGAGGTATCGTTTATTAAAATCGGTTAGCAACTTACCTAAAAAAGGATATGACAAATTTTTTATTGAGATCTCGGAAACTACAAAAGCTAGAAAGTTGGGATTACCCACACCAATTCTTGGGCTTCCTACGCAGCGAAAGTTTGTTTCAGCCGAGGGCCACGCCCTCTCTAACGCCCACAATCGCCTTAAGGCGGAGGTAGGGTCTTGCAAAAAAAAATATACATTTTTTAAAATTTTTTTTCTTGTAGATTAACAAATTAAGATTATACAGAAAAAGTTTTATGTCAATTGGACCAAAACTTTAGAAGTTATGCTAAATCTAGTACCCTAACCTCTAAGACTTTAGGTACGTAAGTGCATCTTTAAATGCGTTTTTCTCGAAATCACGTTTCGAAAGTCTGTCTTCATCGGCATTTCTAAATGGCTCGACCGATCGTTTTCAAATTTGTGTCATATTTTTCTGCATAAAATAAACGGCCCCCTGGGAAGCGCTTTTTTATTTTTTAACTTTAAATATTTTATTTTTAAGCCTAAAAAAATTCATTTTTTTTCAAAAAAAAATTGTTAAAAATAAAAAATTAAAAAAGGGCTTCCCAGGGGCGGGTTTTTTTAATTCTTAAGCGAAATGTAAAAACAAAATGGAAATCCGATCATTTTTGGCGGAGGTACAGTGAACACCGCAAAACGACTTTTTTTAATAGTGTTCCAGCAATCGCTTTGCCACCGATATATTAGACAATATTATCGGCTTTAAAAATTAGTGGATGTTATTAAAATGGCACTTAAAAATATATTAAAGGTTTAAATTAAATCCATCCAACCAGTTTTTATAGAATTATTAGGATTAAGCGAGTAGCCCTACTGCGACGTGTTGTTAAAAAATTTGAAATGGCTCCAACTTTTTACAAAAACCCGGCGCATATATTGAAATTAAAAAATCCTTTTTCTTGTGGGGACAATGCTTAAAGTTGTTTTAAAAATCCTAATTTTTTGTATTTTTAAGAAACAAAAAACTTATTTTTTTTTAATTTTATTTTAAAAGAAGTCGTTTTAGAGGAAATAATGCAAAAGTCTCGAAGTCAATCGGATTACTACAACCGGAGATACAGTTTTTCGATGACAGGGACTTTTCCAAATTTGACGTTTTTTGGAAAACTAAAAAAAATTCAACTAGCAAAATCAATTTTTTTCTGCCAAATCCTGATAGACGTGCTAACTTATTTCCCGAATAGTACACTTAAAACAAGTTTCAGCCAAATCAAAAATGTGACCCAAGAAAAGTGGTTCGGTTTGTAAAATGACTGCCCATATGTACGTTAAGGTCTTACTTCGTTATATACTATACTTCTCCCCAAAAGTCTTGCAGTCCGGACCTGGAAGAAGTCAGTAATGTTTTTCTCGGATTGGGAAAGACCGATCGCGTGCTGTTTCGACTGGGCGAGTGAGTTTCAGAGTGCGTTTCGAGCGCAACGTCGGCACAGCGACGATTATGATTAAAAATGATAAGCGAAATATTTTTATCATTTCTCTAATTAACATAAACCATATGTGATTATCACACAATAAGCCCAGCAGTTGCTGTGCCGGGCTCCAGTGCCGTCGTTGTCTTTTTGTTGTTCTCTTTTTATAAGCTTTCATGCCCCTTACTGTGGCCGGTTATAAGTTATGGCATTGCTGTGGGACTCTGTCGTGGTCAGGATTTGGTCGCGGTAGTGTCAATGGCAACAGCAAATTTATGGGGCATTTTCGTGCGGTCAGGCCCGTAGCATCTTTCAGTTCGATTCTTTCTGGTATCATAAAGAAGTTTTACTTTATTTTTAACCTATGACTATTGACTAAAACGGCTTAAAGCGACGCGATTGCTTGAGCAGCTCTATCTTTCGCTTGTCCTCCTCGAACTTTTTGCGCATCTCCACGATGTTCTGCATTTTTCCCTCGCGTATCTGGAAGGTGTAAAAGTTCTTAAGTTCCTTGGACTTGTTTCCATTGGCCACCTTTTGTTCAAGGCGTCCAAGCACAGAGGCCTTTTGCTCGAAACCAGCGTTGCGGCCCTCCTTGCCGACGGTGACCCATCCGTCGGCGTCAGCCTCTCCAGTCTTGGCCGCCTCCGCCGCAGCCCGCTCCCTCTTGTCGTACCCGGATATGTACTTGCTGACCTGTAGCTTCGCCTTGTGGGCATCGAAGATGTAGTTTTCTTCGTATTCCTCGTGCCAAAGCTCCATGCCGCTTTTCACAATGCACTCGCCGCTGCTGTTAAAGAGGTCGATGCTCCTCAAGGCCAGGGCCTTGCCGATGCTGCTGGCCTTCTCGAAGACTATGTAGGCCACCTTGAAGGTAAAGGGCGGGCGTGTGCTGGAGAACGGTTCGGCGGTGCCCTCGTACCACTTGATGGTCTCCTCCTTTCCCGGCCTGGCGGCGAACTCCACGGCTTCAATGCTCCCCGTCCGCCCGAAGACCGTCTTCAGGCTCTCCTCCGTTACGTAGGGCGGAACATTGAGCACGAAGAGGGTGCGACCCTTGGGTTTATTTGGATCCATCAGCCGTATGAAGTGCTCCCGCATGTAGACGCTGTGGCAGTACTTAGCCTGGGGTGTGGTGCGTAGGGGAACCACTAAGTGAAAAATGGGTGAAAAACAATTAGCTGCAGCAGAAGCGCCGTATGTTTCATTACTTACCTATATAGCCCTCCAGTTCCACCATTTTGCGCTATATTGTGTAAAATTACCAAAAAACGTTTCTTAAAATGGCCAGGCCAGTGATGGCACTATCTTCGGTTCCCTGACTATCGCGATAGTATCGAACTTGCTTATCAACAGTGTTATGAAAAAAAGAATTAATGTTTAAAGTTTATTTATTTATTTAAGATTCATTAATTAAATTATTATTTGTTATGGTCTGCCAAAAATAAAGCAATTTAACATGTTGACAATCAAAACATTCCAAAAACGACCGCGTACCTATGTTAGAGAGGAACAGCAGATGCGATACTAGAGATGGCCTAGGGAAGGAGAACTGGTTCCGGAGTCGTGCTGGTCCATGGCGGAACTTCTTCCCATAGAATCCATCCGTTTGAAACGGTTGGGATTTTTGAAACTCGTGTTCCCATAGAACTCCATCCATTATCCAATAACAGCTGATTTAAACAGCAGTGACTCAACTCAACATAAACGAAGGAGGATTTAAACTCGGGAATACTGTCGTGAAATTGTGTTCTCCTAATCTTATTGTAGAATAATACAATAAATAGCATAAGACAATAGTTTAATACGTATCTGAGTATGCATACATATTGCTGACAGGGGGAGGGCCTAACCTCCCGTACCCCACACTCCGCTCTTACTACGCCTCTGTATACCCAATATTAATATGGCAAATTTGTAAACAAAGCCAAATGTGTGCTGTTTTGGTAATTTATAGCAACTTTGGAACTTTATAGGAGTACATAGTACACTTTTTATTATTATTAGTTATTAGTTAAGCCTACTACTCAGTTCGGCTAAGAGTTTTACTAGTCGAAAAATATTAATCATTTAGTGTGACCGAAGTTTTCGGAGTTCATCCGCAATGCATGTAGCATGGTCTTACTCTCAGCAAACAAATCAACTGGCGCCAATTTTAAAATATTACAAAACGTTGAGCCGACCGGGGTCGCAAGCTTTAAATTCGCTGTTGGAATGGCGATATGTATTGCAGCAACTCCTACAGGCAGTTTTCCATTGGTTTTTGAGGTTTTCCTTCCATTTATAAATTGTTATTTTCACACCGCTTCTGCACAAACACAGCCAAAGATCAAATTTTTTATTCTTTGGGCCGCGGCTAAAGGCGTTCATCAGAATTCATCCGCTAAATCTAGTATTTCAGTGGTATTTTCTTACTATTTCCTTAGCTCAACTGAGTACCGCGGTGAAAAAAGTCCCCGGCTAAAGGCTTTAGCTACCTATTTGCCTCTCGCTTACTCCTATGCTTAGCTAGCAGTTTTCGTCGTACTGAGTACTAGGCTTTACGAAGTGCAGAACACATTCTGAGACTTTTCTGCAAACATTGATGTTTTTTCACGCACAACAGCTTACATTTTGGCCCACACATACAGGGTATTCCCTAAACTGTTGAATTGCTGAATTGTTGAATTTTGGTCAGCTGTTAATCAGCTGTTCTATACAAAGTCAACTTTCAGAAATTTCAGCAATTCAACAGCCTCGCGGCTGTTAAAAATTTTGTTAAATTGCTGAAAAGCCAGAGTTGTCACCTTTTTTTTAAAGTCATGTCAACTCTGTACCATTTTAGTATCACCAGTACGCATTATTTATTTTAAAATCAACTTAGAAAGCATATTTATGGTTCTTGTTACCTTGGTAACAATTTTAGGCAGTAACTAGCAATAATAAATCTAATTTTACATGCTTTAAGTTCCGTGAAACTTTTGAACATAAGCTGTTTGAAAATTCAACAGGAACCATTTTGGGTCGATCCCTTAATTGCTGAAATTTTCTGTTGAATTTTCAACAATTCAGCAATTCAACAGTTTAAGAAATACCCTGATAGCAAACTGCTAAAACCCAAAAATTTTAATTTAAAAAAAAAAACCAAAAAAACAATGAGCTGAAGCATTATTGGGGGTGTCACAGAAACCGTCGACGGATTTCGGGACGGTTGGTTTAGAAACCAACCGACCAAAGCCGTTGGTGTCACAGGTATTCGGGAGATTTCCTTTTTTTCGGAAAATTTACCGAAAAACGAAATGGGCTGGATGCATACACTAAATATCGAATATTCAATAATTATCGAATTTTATTTGGACTATTTTCCAATAAGTTTTAAACTTAATTTATGTTTTCCTTGCAAAATTAGAAAAATAATTTATGTTTAAAGCGCATATTGTACACAATAAAATAAAAACAAGAAAGGAAGCTAGCTTCGGCAAGCTGAAGCTTATATACCCTTGCAGATCATTCTATTAATTTACAAATCGCACAAATTTTTAAATTACTATTATTTCACATTAATTTTTCGATCGTTTTTTTGGCAGCTATATTATATAGTAGTTCGATCTTTTTAAAATTAAAATAGTCATATCCCAGAGTAGAAGGGAATGTTATAAAAATCAACAAAGATATAATTTTTTTCCTATTAATTTACATTTAATTTTTCGACCGTTCCTATGGCAGCTATATAATATACTGATCCGATTTTTTAAATTTTTAATTCGAAATTCAAAAATATATAATAAATAATATTCCCAAGAGTAGAAGATAATATTTAAGAAAACACCGAAGCTAGAATTTTTTAAACGTTTTCTTCCTATGGGAGCTATAAGATATAGTCTATATATATAAGATATCCGGTCGGTTCCGACATCTATACTACCTGCAATAGAAAGAAGACTTTTGGGAAAGTTTCATCACGATAGCTCAAAAACTGAGAGACTAGTTTGCCTAGAAACAGACAGACGGACAGACGGTCATGGCTAGATCGACTCGTCTAGTGATGCTGATCTGAAACGTCTCCTTCACTGCGTTGCAAACTTCTGACTAAAATCATAATACCCTCTGCAAGGGTATAAAAATTAAAAATTTGAATTACCCGCCAGGCTACATATTGCAGCCCTGAACAGCGGTTTGCCGCGGCTGCGTTGGTTTATTTACATTTGTAGGTTGGCAGGAATTTTAAAAGCGAACCAAAATGCCATCTGCTCTAGAGTACTAGCGAAGGCATAAACTGCGAGAGGCTAGTACGCAAAGGAGATCCTTACAAGCGGTTTTACGTGGTAGTCCATGGGGATTTAACTCATTGGCCAGGTCCTTTCAAGCAGTGGTCACAAGAATGCGGCGGAAGACCTATGTTTACCCCTGAAAATTAGCAACGCTTATTAGTTTAAATTAATAATAAGCAAAAATTTTGTACTTTTTTTTCTTACATGTCTTATTCTTCTTCTCAGCCGGCGTTTTACCTGGCAAAAATAGGACATTTTTCACGACAGTGATGCCAACTTTTTGCAAAAGCGGCCTGTTTTTACTAATTTCTCAATAACTACTATTTTTAGTTAGAAATAAGTTTCATTTTTTAACTACAATACTAAGTACTAGAGCCCTGCACGAGTTCACTCGAACTGACAAACAAGTCATGTTAACAAAATAGAGTTTTAGAGTGCGAGTTCACTTACTTAGAAACTTCGAACAAGCAAGTCGTAGGCCTTGAAACAAACGATCAAGTGAGTGCGAGTAATCCAAAATTCGAGTCAATTGAATTTTTAAGCAAAGAAGGTTTGATGTGGTCATACTATTTTAAATTTCATTTTATTTACATAACATTTGGTTTCCGAAAATACGAGTTCAAAACATAATTTTATTAATTTTGATGCTTGAAGATGCAATTCCGGTCCTTTTTTCGGAAATAAGCTGTGAGAATGCCCTTTCCGACGATGCACTGCTAGCTGGAACACATAAAATTTTGAGGCTCACTTTATATAAAAGAGGATAACATTTATGACGAACCATATTCGTTGTGCATCCTGTATACTTCAGCACACTCAAACAAACTCTGCAAGCCACAACATTTTCGATCACATTGTTCTTTGCATCCTGCACCATTCCAAAAGTTTCCCAGACTTTGCTGCGTCCTCGCTTGTTTATGATTTCATACTCACCTTGCTTTAATTTTTCGTTGATATCATCGTTTTCTTTTCTCTTCATTATTATGATGTTTTTATTATTATAAAACCTTGAATAGGTATTTCAAAACTTACGACTTGAGCCATAGCCAAAGGAGATGAAAATATTATTTTAGAAAATCACAAGCACAACAAGTCAGTCGAAAGGAAAGAGCAGAACTAAAATTTATACTAAATTTTTTTTTCAAATTTTCGAATTTTCATATGACTTTTAAGTGTTCGAGTGCTCGATCTGAATTCAAGTCAATCGGGCCACTCGCACTCACTCGCACTCGTTTAGGCCTAACAGTGACTTGAAGGTAGTTGACTTGAAATTTCCTTCACTCGGGTTGATTCGTTTGGAAATATTTTTGTAAGTCAGAGTGAGTGAACAATTCAAGTCAACTTGGAAGTGCTCACTTACAATTAAACTCGTGCAGGGCTCTACTAAGTACCTTTGAATTAATAACACAGGTCAACAAAATGGACTTTATTAAAAGGTGCAGGCCTATGGGCATTAAATTATGTTAATATAGACGTATATAAGCATATCTGCATACTTCGTTTTTGCGTTTAACGGGTGGTATTTGTGCAATCGCGGTTTGAAAAAAATAGCAACATTTAATGTTTTGATTAAAGATGTCTTCGACGGTCTTTGCCCAACTGTATTAAAACCTATGCCAAAAAATGGCTTAGATGCCCATCTACGCAATTGCATTTAAGGTTCCACTATTGTTTGAGTCAATCAAAGCCTATGAGCCATTGAAGTAATTTGTTCACCTCTATTCACAACCAACTTGATTTGTTGAACAGTCTTAAAAAAATACAAGGAAAAATATGTGCCGTAAAATATTTGAGAGGCATCTAGAGACGACTTTTCCCGAATTTTTGAGATAAAACCCACTATTGTACTTCGAAGGATGGAATTTATAGAATTTTTTCCGTAAGAACAGGAAAAGTAACAACTATTTTGAAATTCCATTTTACATAAATATCTGACACATTCGCAGAAATTTGCCTTTTAATTTGTTTAGCAGTAGGCGCCGAACATCGAAAATTTGTATTTTCAAGGGGTTAGTATGCCTGTTAAATAAATCCCCCCACAATTTTAAGGCTACGCCACTGTTATCTTTAAAAAACCTACTGTGTGAAGTCACGACCAACTCGTTAAGTAATAGTTACTTAAAAATCAGGGACAGTAACAGTTATAGGTCTTTTTTTAAAAATCACACTTTAACAGTTATTTTCTGATTTGTAAAGTAAAACTCAAAGAAGAACTGTTATTGTTTGAGTTTTATAATAAAAGTTGACAAATAACAGTTATTCGT